ATTGTTGCTGCAGTAACCTTACAGTATCAGAAACAGTGTTAGCTACAGCCTGTTACACATACTTTCTACACATAATACAACACCATGCCTTCTTCTTATACCCATCACTGTCAATATCAATCACTATATGATACACAAGTTCCAGACAAATATCCCATAAATCCCCACTCAGTCTGACATACAAGGTTACACTGAGTAATGTTTATATACAAATCATCTTTTAGTACTTATCTCACCTTGAATGAATTTTGTCCTGAAAACAACAGTCTTTTCAGTGCCAAGTTTCTAAGTCATTTAACAGTTACTACTGCTTAAATATGTAAAAAAAAATAATTCAGCATGTGCTCAGGTCTAAAGATGTGAAATAGATTGTAACTATAGAATATATCTTTCAAAAATAGTTTCCATACCGAATGATAAAAATGTTCTTGTAAGGGCTACTTCAGAAATACTGGTCAATCTATTAAGTGTATGTAACTGTTACATTTCTATGACATAACAATATATTGCTTCTCAAGAAGAGTATCTTGTCAGTTAATGTTACAGTGCTAGGCAGCTATTCTTAGCCATTCCAGAAACATCAATTTATCCTCCAATGAAGAACCAATGCTGCACCTTTGTTTACAGTCTTAACAATAGGTTTATTACATCATCCCTGGATTTACAATTGACAAAACATGATGTTGCCATAACAATCATCTTAAATCATTTCTTTCCACACTGACATGAACTTTTTGTGAATTTTAAATGTTAAAACTAGATCTAGATCAAGATCTATGATACTTTACATGTAGGTTGGTCAGGTGTCAGCTGACAAACTATTTCAATCTGACAAACTATTTCAGTCTGACAAACTATTAAGTCTGATAAACTATTTCAGAAAAACTATTTTAGTCTGACAAACTATTTCAGTCTGACAAACTATTAAGTCTGATAAACTATTTCAGAAAAACTATTTTAGTCTGACAAACTATTTCAGTCTGAGAAAAAACCTATATCAGTCTGACAAACTATTTCAGTTTGACAAACTATTTCAGTCTGACAAACTATATCAGTCTGACAAACTATATCAATCTGACAAAATATTTCAGTCTATTCATATAGTGTGTAAAAAAAAAACAGCTTATAGTAATTTTGTTTCACCATTTAATGTCAAACTGCGGTTCAGTTATACCATATATTGTATATAACTGATTTAATAATGCATTAATATTTTCTCTTTACAATTCCTCATAAATTGGTGCAGCTATATCAAGTTGTATAAAATTACAGGATACAGCCTCAACACTTAAAGTGATGAGTTAGTTTGTATGAACTGTCATTACTGAAAATTTAGAGAGCCTACCTACAAACAGATAAATGCTAGTCTGTATCATCTTATGACTTTAAAATGTGCATGATTTCATGTCTGGTGACCTTGACCTAGCATTATTATATAGACCTGGATTATAATGGCACCACTCAATTTTTTGTCAGATTTTGGCCTGACCATTGGCCTTTATGTGAGAAGTTGACATTGGTTACAGGGATCTGAACTTTGCACCTCATAAAGGTGAACACTTGTTTCAATCCCTTATTGCATGTAAAAGTTTTGCTCAATACAGACGTTTTCCTCTCATCTGTAAGTATGACCTTGACCTTAGCCCAAGAGACCTGATTCATGTGAGCAACACTACATCTTATGGTCATGAATATTTGTATCAAATAAAACTTGAATGCAGAAGATGTGCTCAGGACAAAACAGGACCCTGCCTGCCTATCCTACCTGGCCATACCCGAAATACAACCTGGTGTATATTACTTTATAATAAATCAGCCCAAAAATAGTCTGCAGTTGTATAGATTGTGCTTACTGTATTACTGGTGGTACAGGCAACTCATTATTGCCAACAGTGCTCAAATACTTAGTAGTTTGAGTAAAATGATTGTTTCCATTGTTTCTTACTGTATGTTATAGATATGTGAGGTATGTTTACAGTATGCAAATAAAAGCATTTAATTTACAGAGGTAATGAACTTCATCTGTAAAGAACAAATTGCCTCTGTCCATAGAAGTTTAGCTGAGTTTTACTGTACATTATCTGACAATACTGACAGTACAGTTAGCCAGCTTCCAGTTTACCTGCTCTAGATTCAGTTATCAAACCTTACCACCGAAAATAAACCATAACATAATATCTTTCAGCTTCTTGTTTTTCTTCTTTCATGATACATTTTAGACAATATTAGTACTGCCAATTACCAATAAACAAAATCAAGATCATATATAACAAGAGCTGTCGGTAGGACAGCATGCTCGACTATTCTAAGTGCTTGATAGTAAAAGAGCCTTGATAATGTTAAATTTTTTAAGATCACAAAAGGTCTAATTTTTTTTTAATAAATTCATGTTATAGGCCTTAGACTCAGAGAGTCTAATTATACAGTATTGGCTTGACTATTCGGTAGGTAATGTCACAAGGTTGTTTTATTGAGTATAATAATACTAATTACCTATGAATACATAAATTTGACAGAAAAGGTACATAGGCTTCTAATTAAGATGTTTTATCAAGTAAATCACTGCTTTATTATTATGAATGCATAAAATTGTCCAAAAAAGGGCACAAACCTTTCAGTAGTAATTGAGATAACAGCTTACAAGCAAAACTTTACCATGAATTTCTAAGTTGAAAAAGGGGAGAAAAATCAGCCTAAATGCAAGATAGATTTTATGGATCTTTGTCAGTGACCTACAATTATGACCCTAAATGCCTATGTGAAGTTTTAAATAAATATCTTTAATAGTTATTGAGATATGTAAAACTTGCATGTAAACATTAACCAAGAGACTAAGTAGAAAAGGGGATATGAATCAGCCTTAATGCAAGATAGAGTTATGGAACTTGGTCAGTGACATACAATTATGACCCTCCAATTAGGCCATCCTTAAAAAAATGTTTGTTTGCAGTAACCCGACCCAGAATTTTCAAGGTGGGTAGGAAGGTCTCTTCTATTAACCTTTAAAAGAACAAAAACAAAGCACAAGGCATAATTTTCTGATTAAAAAATTTTTTTTTTATCCAGACCATGAAAAAAACTTTTGAGTAGGGGCAAATTTTGTGAGTAGGTCGCGTTACTGCAAACAAACATTTTTTTAAGGATGGCCTTATGACCCTAAGTGCATGTGTAAAGTTTCAAGTAAATATCTTTGAAGACCTTTAACCTTTAACCAAAATTTCTAAGTTTCAAAGGGGCAAATAATTCTTCAAATTTTGCAGGCAGAGTTATGCAATTTTGCAACCTGATGAACATTGTTACTATAAAAAAGTATTTTAAATTTCATTTGAATATCTCAAGCAATAATTGAGATATTTGACTTTACAAAAAAACTTAAACCAAAATTTCTAAGTTCCAAAGGGGCATAATTCTGTCAATATTGTAGGCAGAGTTATCCAACTTGTCAATCTGATGTTCCTTGTTACTATAAATAAGTATTGTAAGTTTCAATTGAATATCTCAAGCAATAATTGAGATATTTGACTTTACAAAAAACTTTAACCAAAATTTCTAAGTTAAAAAGGGGCATAATTCTGTCAATATTGTAGGCAGAGTTATCAAACTTGTCAATCTGATGTACCTTGTTACTATAAATAAGTATTGTAAGTTTCAATTGAATATCTCAAGTAATTATTGAGATATTTGACTTTACAAAAAACTTTAACCAAAATTTCTAAGTTAAAAAGGGGCATAATTCTGTCAATATTGTAGGCAGAGTTATCAAACTTGTCAATATGATGTACCTTGTTACTATAAATAAGTATTGTAAGTTTCAATTGAATATCTCAAGTAATGATTGAGATATTTGACTTTACAAAAAACTTTAACCAACGCAGACGCCGACGCGGACGCTGACGCCGACGCCGGGGCGACTACAATAGCTCTCATATTCTTCGAATAGTCGAGCTAAAAATAACCTTTACAAGAATAAATAAATTAATTATATAAATCAAGGAATGTTGAAAGGAAATTCAGATTTACTTTAAATTCCAGAAAATTAATGGTGTATACAGTACAATATATTGAATCATACATCCACCTGGGAATATGGTAATGATCTAGGTTTCCAAGCAATTTGAGCAGGCATTCTTTTAATATAACAGAAAATCTCAAATATGTTCTGCCAATTATTCTTTGCTATTAGTTGTCACCATGAAAGATTATTATACTTGAGGTGGATAAAGAGGTAAAAAAAGAAAGAAAAGGAGTATAATTATGCTGATGAGGAAAATGGCAATTATTTAACATGACTCCCACCCCCAGCACAACATGGTCCTCTCTTTTCTGTGTTGAATAGTGTAATAAAATCAAAATAAAGGGGGAAGTGCTTAGGAGACATAGGAGAACAAGTATTTTAAATTTAAAGTGAATCCCTTATGTGGTCTTCATGAAAAGGCAAATATTCTGTAAGTCAAAAAAGGAAATAATAAATGCAACAAATAAAGTGCATTGTCATAAAAACAGGATTAAATGTGTCAATTATGAATCAAAAACTGTCCATCAATAAAAAAAGTTATGGCAATTTAAGCCAAACCTAAAGTGTTGTTTTGTCAAATTATGAATTTCATTCTTAAAGACAAAATCATAACAATTTCAGCAAAATTCAATAACCTGGCCTTAATTGTCAAGGTTATTTAAGGTCAAAATCATGCTTAAATTAATCAACATATTTTTTTTGTTGTTGATTTGTCCATGGATAAAACAGATCCATACATTATTAATAAAGTAATTGCCAATTTTACCAAAATTCATAATTTGATTTGAAGGTCAAGGTCAAATAAAAGTCAAGGTCAAATAATTATAAAGCTCAAGGTCAAATTCACTTTAACTTTCTTAATGGAATTGTCTCAGCAATATATCTTTTATACATGAGAGACTATGTAAGTATCCAAAAAAGTAAAGTCTCAAACCAAAACTCAATACTAGCAAGATGGCTAATAATAAATTTATATCAAACTCACCTTCAAATCTCGATGTACTATTCCATGCATATGACAGTAGTTAACACTCTCTAATATCTGTTGCATGCAGTGGCTGAAATGAGAAACAGTAAAACATTATTCAACGGCACAATATAATGTTATATACAGATCCAATCATTGAACAAACTCATCATACTTTCTTCAATTTGTCAAACAATTTCAAAAGTAATTATTTGCAGCTTTGTTATTCTATACTTTTGATCTATTTTTTATCTTCCAGCAATCATTTTTTCAAGAGGTTTCTGTTTCAAATGTCTATGCCAACTTCAAAAATCATTTTTATAATTATATAAATATTATCTTCCATTTTTTGCACCAGGTGGCTGGCAATTACATGGCTTAGATTTAGTCAGCTAATGCTTTTTTGTCAAGGTTTATTCCATGCTTGTAAATCATGTAAAAACAAGTCCAATCAAACAATCGAATTTTAAACCAATATATTTGTGCCCTTCCACTCAATTAACCAATGGGGTTCTTTAAATTAGATGGACCCCCAATTATCCAACCTTACATAAATATTAAATAGAAGCACAGATAAAATAATTTCCTTAGAAGTTTTAGATGAGTATGAATTAATTTGTATAGTTACATTTTATTTATTTTAACTTACATTAGGAATAAATCTGTATACATGCACTAAGCTTATATATTAGGACATGTAGTCAGTCCTGTAACCAACTATTATTACAGTCAGTGAATATATTGTGAGATTTCTATGTGACAGAGCCTTGCAAAATATGTTATACTGCCAGCATAACTAGCCAAGTTGATAGGAAGTATGTCAAACACAACACTGATGTATTCACTTGTTTTTTCACATAAGATTATTACTTCCTGCATGTATGGTAGAAACATTATGGTGAACATTTCACCAATGATAGGAAACTGCTTAAATACACTTTAAACAGTACTAACTGAATTACAATATTATACAATGTGCACAAGGCATCTACAGATGTTTTTAATTCAAACATTCTATATCATATTTAAATGTTGAATTCTGCTTAAGCTGATACAAGGGGTTAGTGGACGGTAGCTTGCATTTACCATTACCATCCATGAACAAACTTAATTAAACCAAATCTGCAATATTTTCAATTTAGCTGTTTTTGGCGTGTTCTTAAGAGATTCTGTTTTTGCCTATTCTATAGGTTTTCCTCTATGATATATTTAATGGCTTTATATCAGAAAGATAGGACATTTTCCAATCAGATTAAAATCAGATCCTTAAGAATCTGGTAGTCACTTTCATCAAATCAGTGTCAGCTTCAAGTTTTACCTGTTGAGGAACTAAAATTACATAAATAATTATGTGATTTTTATAATTTTAAACCAACACTCAATATGATAAAATGTGCCACAGAAAAACCATTTGAACGATCTAACTGTGAGTATGCAGCAGAGGATAAAAAAGCTATTTTACTTCTCACACTGTTTTCAAATATTTATGGTAGCTAATTTCTCATAAGAATCTCAAGGATGATAACTATTGATGCAATTTCACTTGGTAACTGACTTTCCATCTAGATACAATCAATCGGACAATCACTCTATTTCAAGTTACAAGCAAGATGTGTTCGAATCCCAACATGCATAAAGCATGTAGTCTGTGACATCTTTTATTTAATTAATCAATTAATTAATTAATTAATTCATTCATTCATTCATTCATTCATTCATTCATTCATTCCATTCCATTCATTCCATTTCATTCATTCATTCATTTTCATTCATCCTTCCTCACTCTTCTTTCATACCTTGGTACAGAACCAATAGTAGCAGCAAAAACACCATAATTTTACTGTTTTTACCTCCCTTATTGTTCCAACAAGAGTCATTATAAGCCTGTGGCTTTAATATAAAACACTCCAAAATATCTAATAGATTCACAAAGTTCTTCTGTTTACAAATGAGAGTAAAATATCATCTTGTAAAATTCATAAATATAATTATAATGTTGTCTTTATTGCTTAAACACTTAGAACACACTTCAAGAGAATTTTTATAACTGTTTTAATTGTTTTATGAGTCAATTAGATGCTAACTTTTCAATGGCTTTCAATAAAATCTATCATCAAGGGACATAAATCTGTCAAAACAAGAATTAACATTCAAAACTACTGGGGTAGGGATTTTTTCTCCTTACAATTTTTTTATAAAACCAAATGTTGCTCAAGGAAAATCTGCAAGTATGATTAACATGCCAAAATGACAGCTGTCAGTCATTTAGACCCTAAATTAATGACAGAGACTGTAAATGAAATAAACTTAATGCTGTTACAATCAAATATTGATGCTTTTAAAGTTTTCTTTTAGATAAGAAGCTAAAATGGCACATAAATAATGAACTTAAAGCACAAAGATGGAACCATAATTCAGCATAATCTTTGAAACATGGCATTTGTAAATGTAATATTCTATTTGTACAAGCAACAATAACATACTATGGTAAATATTGGTTTTTACAGGAATCATACTTGGCAAAATACCTCAACATTCAATCTGTAATATGCACAGCAATCATAAACAAAGTATTATTATGAGAGTATTTCAAATAAACAGACATTTAGCTGTAGAGTTTAGTGATACAATATCTCCATAACACACCTGTACTCACCATATACTACAACAATGATGTATGGATGTTAGAAATGCTAGGTTCCTGATTTAGTTTAACTTTTGCAATGGACTTGAATTTTTAAACTTTTATGGAGGAAAATCTAAGAATCATTTATCATAAAAATAATGGCTCATCTTAATTCTGAAAATTTCTTTATTCTTAATGTAAAACTGTTGATTTGATGTTAGTTTAAATGGTACAAACAAAGCCTATGGAAAACGAGCTTAAACAGTGACCTTGACCTAGAAATCTTTTGCTGAAATAAGCAATTTGTGAAGGATTACTGACGAACAATTCTAAATAAGTAACCTATCTTAAACACTAAACCTCCAAAGCAATGAATTTTCAAGGTGATCAGAAAAGAAGCATTGTCAATATTCCTTAATTTTACCTTAAACCATGCTATAAAATATCTTAAATATACAGTTGACTCTCGGTAACTCAGATTTCAACGGACTGGGCATTTTACTTCAAGAGGAACAGGTAACGTGGATCTGCTGTCATTACATTTACATTCGTACATGTATAAAAATGTGCCTGATTGAATGTCCAAAATAGTAGGTTTGTTATTGTTGATAACGGCAATGCTGCAGTTGAGCACTTACAACTACAAATTATAAATGAACAGAAAGATATTATTTAAAATTTAATACATGTATATTAATAGTGAAACATAAATACAACATAAACACAAACACTCGTAGCAAAGACATAAATGCAAATCAAGTTGGTCAGTATTCATCAGTATAATATTAAGCACATGTTTTCAATAAGCACTCATGAAAATTCATTACTATAGAAGCAAATAACAAACAATATGTCTTATACCTTAATCATAGGAAAATGAAAATAGCAATTATTGTGTACTGGAAGTAGTCATATCAATTTAGTTATCTAACTGATAAAACCAATGAAGTCTTTATGCCGATTAAAGTCACTTTTAAAACGTGTTAATAATACATGATGACCGGCGATTAAAAATACTATGAAACGAGTGAACCAGAGTGACAACATCTCACCTTGATGTCGCCAACCGTTGATCAGTCGCCTGTTTTAACACTTCGACTAACTGACATGAAAATATGTTGGACTTTAATTGACGGGACCAAAAACTCCTTTTGACTAAACAGGAGTCTCAGTAAGTCAAAATTTGACTTAAGCGGAGTTAAAGTACAAAGATAAAGAAGGAAATTTGACTGGACCTAAGAAATTCTTCGACTAATGCAGAAGTTTGAGTGAGGTGATTTTGACTTATTTGAGAGTCAACTGTACTTGTCAATTTTTCAAAACCATTCATCATTTTTAGAGAAAAATTTCAAAATAAGTACTGATTGAATAGGTAAGACTGCAGACAATGATCAAACAGCACAGACAGATGCTCTGGCTGATCTTGGTCTGCAAAGGTCACATAGATATATTCAGTTGCCACCAGCAGGCTTCAGGGTTAAAGAGAAAGAATGAGGGACAGTATGCCAAATTTAAGATAATCGAAATGCAAATGAACCCAAAGGTTGATATCAGTATCTTAACCATTGTCCTACATCATTGTGAGTTCTGGAGGCTACATGACAGCAAATGTTGGAGACAGCTTTCTTACATCAATAAAATTTAATCATTTCAAACAGTCATCTGGGACCACCTTCTACATGGAAAATTCATTCAGGAAATCTGATTGTATAATATTTTCTTCCTATAATCTTTTATCTTCTATAAGAGTATGAAAGAGTAAATTATTCACCAGCAAAAGACTGAAGATTTGCTTTAAAGCACTTAAGTTTACTGCTCTTGCATAAATTATGCATGGTTTGATATGAGCTTTGTTGGCATCACACATTCCTGTGAAAAGTAATGAAAACTCTTAAGTTATCTAAAACCTATTAAAAATGTTGTGATGAAAATAAAGATTGAATGCCCAATATTTGCTGGTGTCTTTTTTCATATTTGACATTCTCTTTTACAATAAGATGATGGAAGCTGTTGTTTTATGTCATTTTCTTTCCATATCCTTAAAACCTCTGGAATAAACTACACTTAATACGTTCAGTAATCAATATGGCAGACTCGTTTGGTAAGAGACAGTAAATCTAATTTCAGGATACAAGACATTGTGAAAACTATCTAGAAAATTTCAATCTGGATAAATGAGTGCTTGCAAAGCTTTTAAACACTTTCATACATGCTTTAAGTATTGCCCCTCCCTGCTACACTTCTGGGACAATGTGGGGGTTGGTAAGTCTTTACCTATCCACTGCTAGCCCAATTTGATGGTTTTGTTCAAATACAAAAATAGACGAGGTATTTTTAATTGTTTGCAGTGTGGGGCAATTAACAGGAATTCTCATATTTGACTGTCTTCTGGGAGTTAAGGTAGAGGCAGGGAGGTGTACTGGATTTACCAATGATTTGGCCTTACTAAATGTAATGAATCAAATAAGATCAGGATACAATTATCATATACTTAATTTTTATCATTTATTTAGCACTATCAGGAGACAATCATTTATCAATTATTTAAAGATCTTACACATCGTTTTGATTGAATCAATATTAATTAAAATCTACCAAGTTTGATAAATGATTCTTAAAGAAGGTTGAACAGCTATTCTAACAAAGTGGCACCTGTGTTGCTATTCCATTGTTCTTCCTATTGTTCTATAAGCTGCATAAATTTTAGTCACATTAACACCTTCCTGGATGAATAGCATCAAAGAAAATTTTCTTCTCATTGAAGTGAACTTTAAGTAAATTTGTACCTATTTTCCAATCCAACCAACTGAGGCGCCAAGCCATGGAAACTAGGAGCTAATCCTTTTTGTTAATTTCTTATGTTGACAGAAAGGTTCAAGCTCCCTTATTCTACTGTTACTGAGAGTCATGGATTTCTTTATTCTGTTTACATTTACCTGGCCCTCTATAACATTTTCAATGCCAGGACGGATAGACAAAGCCATTTTAATTACATTGTATCAGATTTTATCCACAGGGGATAAGTAAAGAATTGGAGAATTTAAGAAAGTATGGGTGGTACAATGGTAATTGGAATTCATAAAAATCACTATTATTGATAAAATTTGATTTTCCTAGGCCTGTGCACTTAAAAGGATAGAAATTGTACGAGGCCTGTGCACTTAAAAAGATAGGGATTGTACTATCTTGAAGAATTTATAGCTATTTTAATCCTGGATTTATCTAGTTTCTATTTACAGAATATAAGTGAACCATGAGAGAGAACTCACAGCAATACCAGTTGTATAAATGTAAAGATATATGAGCCGCGCCATGACAAAACCAACATAATGGGTTTGCAACCAGCATGGATCCAGACCAGCCTGCGCATCCGCGCAGTCTGATGAGGATCCATGCTGTACGCTAACAAACCCTATAACAAGTAGAGAAACTGATAGCGAACAGCATGGATCCTGGTCTGGATCCATGCTGGTGGCAAACCCATTATGTTGGTTTTGTCATGGCGTGGCTCATATCAATTATCACATGACATCATACACAAGTCATTAATGTATTGATACTCCTATGCAAATGAACAAATGTTTTTCAACAATAAAAATACTATAATTTGCATTCTTAACTGATATTCATAACATGAACTTTAGCATCATTATACAAGTTAAATCGTTATGAGTTCCATAGAAGTTTTCCATCAATAAATGTAAAATACACAAAATGAAATATTTGAATATAGTCAGGTTTTCAAGCAGGATATTCAAAGATTGTGATATCTGTATTAATAGTAAAAGCTTTGTCATGATTGCCACTTCCAAAGCCTAACAGATTTCCAACTTAAATTTTATAATTTTTAAAATTCTTTTAACAATTCTAGTGTCCCATTTAAAAATTCAAAAATTCTACAGAAAATGCAGTTTTTGTATACTTCTGTACAAAGGATTTATTCAAATAATGTTAAGAGGAGGTGCAGCATTTTCATTTATCAAAGTCATACTTGATTTATTCATACAGTGGCAAGTTTATCTTCTTATACCTCCACCCAATCTTAGAAATACAAACAGCAAGCAGTCATTCTCCTAATAAATTTACACTTTGAAAAAGCTAAGATTTCAAAATACTTTACATGCTAATGTTCACACACAGAATTTTAATATTGTTTAGTTTTTTTTGTTGATGATAAAGTTATTTAGTCTTTCTATTCAATACTTAAAATTTTCAAGAAAAAATAGCAAGAATGATCATAACGAATAGTTTTAACTTTATATTTTGTTGATGTATATGAGTATAATAGTATGACAAAAGATAGCACCTAGTTATAGTATGACAAAAGATAGCACCTAGTTATAGTATGACAAAAATAGCACCTAGTTATACTTTAAACTTTATAATTATGATAATTATCACTGGTAGAATTCACTCCAGAAAAGGAAACATCTAACACCAAAGGATTAATAATTAAAGAATGAAAATCAAACAAGAAAATTAGCCAAAATACAGTCTAACTTGCCCATGCACCACGTGTATACCACATAAGCAACTTTGTCTTATGCGACCAGCGACCCCTAATTAGTCTGCTAATTGAGATCAATCTTTTCATTAAACAACCACTTTTGTAGTTACTTAGAAATAACACAGAAACCAAATTCAGACTGACAGACAGACACACAGACAGGGAATGCCAAAAAAAATATTCCCCTCCCTATTCCATCAGAGGGGGATACAAAATATTTCAATTGATTAAACATGGTGACACTAGTTTTTAAAGATGGCCCATGTTGAATTTAGTCCAATATACCATTGAGACAAACATTCTAAATTTGATGAAGATTAAATCAAAACTAAGACCTCTTAATTGTTGCCGAGATGACAGTTAACTGACCACATCTTATGATGCACAGGTTAGCAAAGGGATCAAACAAAAGAGAACAAAGTGTTGATCTCTCTTAAAGTAAGTTTGATCAGCAACACTGGCAAGCTAATAAAACATTAGCAGTACTTACCTTGCATCAGCTTCACTATAAAATTCTCTTGCTACAATATCTTCAAATAATTCACCACCAGTTACTCTGAAATATATGATGCAACAATGGATAGATATCTTTAATATTTCAAATATGTACAGTTGATTAATAGGGCACATTCATTAGGCATATAATTTCATAACAGAACATCATAAAAACATAGGAAAAATGGATTTAACTATACATGTATCTTTATCTGAAAGAAACAAGGCCTTTATAACATAACTTATTCTACAATAATTATTTTCCTTTACTCTCTATATCGTTAAGATCATATGGCACCTCTCCAGCTGCCTGAGTGAATCAATGGCCTTCAATAAGCAAGTTTCCTAACAAAGATGAGGTTAATGTCCCAAATGGGATTCAAACTTACTCTACCTTAGTAACAAACCAATGAGTGCTGATAATATAAGGTTCATTCATGACATAAATCTTAGGTTTATCTATCGTCATGGAAATAGCTTTTATCAAGGGCCTAATAACTGCTTTTAGTAAATCAATGTAAATTGTAAAACCAGTAAATGGCAAACTTTCATTATATGAATGTAAAGGAAGACAGAGGCCTCATAAAAGTCTATTTCATGGAGAAAAAAATGGTTTATAAAAGCAAGTTGCTGTTTCACAATGAATCTGTTTTGATATTATATTAAATCATTGTTTGCAAGATGCTTTACTTGTCAAATATGACAGCATAAGAAAGTCTGCAAGAAATGTCTCTCTCAGTCTGAACAATCAAAATATAGATATTGTTAACAACCCTAAAAGCTGATGCCGCACATTGACTGGTCCTAACAACTAACCATTATGCATATGGGTGCTAAGCATGTGGGAGAGCTAAAAAAAATAATCAGGCAACTTCACTGATGTTAAATATGGTCAATTCACCAACAAAGTTAGATTCATTTTATTTATATTTTTCATTTAAGTTGAAAATGAACTGTTGAGATGATTGTGACTGAGTTATCTTGTTTTACATTATCATCTCAGTAAGATGATTTATATATCCCATGACATTACATACCAGTTATATATTACAAACTTATCAATTACATCTCTTCATTAAGCATAAAATGAATAGATATGCCAGCAGAAGGAATAGATTTACAATATTCAAGGCCTTGTTATATAGAATGTAGAAAGACATGAGAAGAAATCTGCATGTATCACATCTTATAATGAGATCATATTTACAACAAGCAATTATCATAGTATTGCAAGCAATCCATAAGTCCCCTACCGGTTAGAACCCCATCAACATTCTGAAGGGCCATTGGCCATTCACTAATGTTTCAATTTTTCTCTATTTTAAGAAAATTTGTTGGAAAAGTTCTTTAAAAGTGATCAGAGGATACAGTTTTTATGAACAGACAGACGGACTGAAAGACACTCTAAAGTTAATATTTGAAACATCCCTGTTACCAAAATATACCATTTTAAAAGCAAAATTCTTAAAGAGGAGATAACTCTTGAATTAAAGATGCAATTTCATAAAAATGTTCAGCTCTTTTTGACTAATCACAAATATTGTTATATTTGCCATGTTTTAAGCCTATTTGTTGCCAAGGCAACTGATATTTTTTCAAAATAGGAAGAACAGATAAGGCATGCATAATCTCAAGACTGCTATCTACCCATATGTCAAGTTTCATAAAAATATTTCCAGTACTTTTTGAGTTATCACTGGATTCAGTTTATGTGTAAAATTTGCCATATTTTCAGTCTATGTGTTGCTATAGCAACCAGAATTTTCAACATAGGAAGAAAAGAAAAAAACGTGCATAATTTCAAGACTGCCATCTACCCATATGTCAAGTTTCATAAAAATATTTCCAGTACTTTTTGCGTTATCACTGGATCCAGTTTATGTGTAAAATTTGCCATATTTTCAGCCTTTTTGTTGCCATAGCAACCAGAATTTTCAACATAGGAAGAAAACAAAAAAGACGTGCATAATCTCAAGACTGCCATCTACATATATGTAAAGTTTCATAAAAATATTTCCAGTACTTTTTGCGTTATCACTGGATCCAGTTTATGTGTAAAATTTGCCATATTTTAAGCCTATTTGTTGCCATAGCAACCAGAATTTTCAACATAGGAAGAAAAGAAAAAGACGTGCATAATCTCCATACTGCCATCTATCCATATTCCAAGTTTCATAAAAATATTTTCAGTACTTTTCAAGTTATCGCGGGATCCAGTTTTGCGGACGGACGGACTGACGGACTGACAGACAGACGGACGGACGGACAGACGGACGGAGGGTAAACCTAAAGTCCCCTCCGGTAAACCGGTAGGGGACTAATAAATTGTTAATAATGCAAATCTCAATGAATTAATCTTGGTTCTTTTAGCTTTAGGGAGATTACAAATAATGATTTATTTGACTTGTTGTTACATCATTATAGAATTAATCAAGTTATTAAAGAACCTGTATTGACATTAGGGTGCATTCATTTCATATTCACTAGAGAATGTAAAAGGAAGTATGAAATCCACTTTATACAAAGTAAATCTGTTCATACATGCAATGATTAACCTAAATTCTAAACACATTTTACACTAAATATCACTCAATTTCAATTCAACAAACAAAATGGTAATCTATATCATTATTAAATCATTGAAATTTTCAATTAAGAATGAGCACTGAAACTCAACATATAATGCACTCTTAGCTGAAGAGTCAATCTGTCAATTAAGATATATATTGATGGATAAATATGCCACCTTTGACCAATATGAAAGGAACAGGAACTGAAGACATTCGACCATCAGCAATAAATCATAGATAAATGACATTCAATATGAAACATTCTTTATCAATGGAATAATTTAATACCTTATAAGAAACAGGATATACAGTAGCAACCAATCAATTAAGACAGTATCAACTATAGAACTACCATCAACTAATCAGCAATCAACCAATATTATCCCTTGAATTTACAGATGTGACAAGTTTTAATATAACAACTATGCATCCATGTCATGAAAGGGGTTTCAATTTGAAACTCAGCTGATGGTACAGCAGTTGAAAGTAAACCTAATCAGACTGTATTAAAATGACTGCTTTGCAGGCATAGCTAGGACCTGTTAGAGGTCAACAAATAATTGTACCAAATGTTGACATAATCAGTTTCCAATACACAGTATTTGGTAACATAAGAAAATAACAGTTTCATAATGATATTTTTGTTGTTTAACACAGTAACCTGACCATATAATACCATACAAACATTCAATGTCATACAATAAACAATTATTGTGTAACAAAGTTTCCTTTAACCATGCATCATGCCAATGGGAAATGCCAGACTTTCATACAGTTTCTTATAACAAATTCTCACAAAAACAAGAAATGTCAAACAACAGACAATCTATACTGACAAAGTTTCCTTCAACAATATATCAGGCCAACAAAAAAGTCACACAGACAATCACATGAACCTACTTTTTATGAAGTATCAAATAAACATTAAACATTGAGACAATCTGAGTGTCCAAAACTGAAGTCTTGGACAATATAATAATCAGAATATGGACAATCAATAGTTTCCTTAGACAAATTAACAGGCTAATGTGTTACACAGATGTCTTTCAGTAATCGTATCTGGCTGTTATAAAATGTTAAATCTGCTTTGATCTAGGGTAATTTCAGCCTTGTATGAAACATTGGAAATTATACAGTTTCCTTTGAAAAATAGCATTATGCTGGTATGAAATATATAAATTGTTAAATATCAAACTAACATATCAGATGAACATACAGAAATCAGATATTAAACATGAAATTGTAGCTGATCATATATATTTTCCTTTGACTATTTCAGTATGAAGGTTCTATGAATGTCAGATAGTCTCTTCTGACCATGTATACAACTAATACCTAATATATCAATCATACAAAGTTTTGTATGATTGAAAACCTAACAAACATAAACTGTCTGACAAACTGACAAATATTCCTTGACCTGAAATATTACATATAAGTTAATTGGCAAATGAAGCAGATGAAAAGATTATGTCAGCCTTTCTGCAGGATGTTTGTCTAAGATAATTGCCATATTCTAACAAATGACTTAAGTTATATGAGGAGGTCAAAAAGCTGTAGGTGAACATTAATCATAACACTGCATATTATGCTGCCTTCTTTTTATAATTAATTAAAACATGAAATGATCTTGGTCAAAGGTCAAGTTCACACTATCAAACTTGTGACCTTGAATTTTGACTATTCCTCATTAAGTCAATGTCTTGTTAGAATCCATTCTAAGATATTTGAAATGATAAAGGATTTTTCACAACATCAAAATTCCCTATAATTTCTTGTAACATTAGCTTGAGAAATAATGGAAATCTAAATACATGTAGAAAGACTGACAGCAAGCATTAGGGAAAATTTCAATAAAGTCAAAATTACTTTAAAGAAATGTCAGGCAAATTGTTTTTTTTTTTTAGAGTGCAGCCTGTTTCATGTAAAACAATTCAAACACAGAAATTATGACAAAATAATCTATAAGTATCCCAAAAAGAACACAATAATTATTCATCTTTATAACAATTGACAAAAATGACGCACAATGTTATCATGTGATCTGCAACTGCACAAGTTCTTTTGTCTAAAATCAATGAAATATTCCCTCTATATTTGAAATTCAATTAATGGACTATGGAAATACTCGAGTTTTGTAGACAATATCAATATACTAGGACCTGCTCAATTTTGTCATCCTGTAAAAGCACTAGATAGTATCATTGTCTGACTGTTCTCTTGAAATAAGGAAACATTTTATTATTGAATTTTCTGTTTGTTATACACATAGGAATACTTTTTTCACAAAAACAAATTTATTTCAAGTGTTTTCAAAATCATCACATTTCAAATAAGCCAAAATGTTTGACAGATCCATTTTGCTACAGCCAGACTGTTAGTTTCAGTTACTCCTTGACTGAAAAGTAATGTTAGGACACTGAACTGAAGAAAGTTATGAGAAAGTAAATCACTGTCTGGTTTCATTTTATTCACCTAGACTGTAAGGATCCATAAATAATTCATGGATTTGACATATTCCATGGGAAACAGTCACTTGAGAACCAGAAACAAAATTATGACGCTTAAAATGAAACTTTGAGAGTCTAAATATAACTATTGTACACTTTGACCAAACTTCTCAACATCCAATAAAACTACTTTGTACCTCAAACATACACTGTGGAGCAGGGAAAGCCAACAAAGGTTGCTTTAACATAGTTAACATAACCATTTATCACTGACATAGTCTTCAGAACACTGTGGAACAGGGAAAGCCAAATAACTTAAAGCCAAAGCCAAATAACTTATAGCCTATATACAGTGTGGAACAGGGAAAGCCAAATAACTTATAGCCTATATACAGTGTGGAACAGGGAAAGCCAAATAACTTATAGCCTTTATACAGTGTGGAGCAGGGAAAGCCAAATAACTTATAGCCTTTATACAGTGTGGAGCAGGGAAAGCCAAATAACTTATAGCCTATATACAGTGTGGAACAGGGAAAGCCAAATAACTTATAGCCTATATACAGTGTGGAACAGTGAAAGCCAAATAACTTATAGCCTTTATACAGTGTGGAACAGGGAAAGCCAAATAACTTATAGCCTATATACAGTGTGGAACAGGGAAAGCCAAATAACTTATAGCCTATATACAGTGTGGAACAGGGAAAGCCAAATAACTTATAGCCTATATACAGTGTGGAACAGGGAAAGCCAAATAACTTATAGCCTTTATACAGTGTGGAGCAGGGAAAGCCAAATAACTTATAGCCTTTATACAGTGTGGAACAGGGAAAGCCAAATAACTTATAGCCTATATACAGTGTGGAGCAGGGAAAGCCAAATAACTTATAGCCTATATACAGTGTGGAACAGGGAAAGCCAAATAACTTATAGCCTATATACAGTGTGGAACAGGGAAAGCCAAATAACTTATAGCCTATATACAGTGTGGAGCAGGGAAAGCCAAATAACTTATAGCCTATATACAGTGTGGAACAGGGAAAGCCAAATAACTTATAGCCTATATACAGTGTGGAACAGGGAAAGCCAAATAACTTATAGCCTATATACAGTGTGGAGCAGGGAAAGCCAAATAACTTATAGCCTATATACAGTGTGGAACAGGGAAAGCCAAATAACTTATAGCCTATATACACCAAATAACTTATAGCCAAAGCCAAATAACTTATAGCCTATATACAGTGTGGAACAGGGAAAGCCAAATAACTTATATCCTATATACAGTGTGGAGATAACTTATAGCCTATATACACCAAATAACTTATAGCCAAAGCCAAATAACTTATAGCCTATACAGAGAAAGCCAACAAAGGTTGCTTTCATGCAGTTAATAAAACCATTTATCACTAATAGCCTACATAACAGGGAAAGCCAACAAAAGAGTAACATTTACTCAGCCAACACAACCATTTAATGCTGAAAGATGGTCGCGAGTGAATACAAGTAAACAAGAAAAAGAGTCTGAGATAATGCCCAGAGGAAAACCCTGAGGCCTTCTTCTACCAGTAACGCTGGAAGGTTGCCCTGTTAAGCCTTAACTGTGTTGTTGCCACGGAAAAGCAAACCAAGAAAACCGATAAGAAAATCTTTATACAAATTCATAAAGACATGACAAAAACATTTTAGCTACCTTGATGTTATTCATATAAGGCCTTAAAAAGTACTATTTTAGATAGATGAGGCAATTTCTGTCTATGACGTGGTGGTAATGTACTTACAAATCAAATACTAAATAGTGGAAACCATCGTCTTGTATACTGTCATGTAGTCTGACTGAAAATAGAAAATGAAACATTTCTAAAAATACACTCAAACAATAATCTATTGCATATTTAACATTTGTAACAATAAATCAATGAACAACAACCATGTTACATAGCATCATTAAAAGTTCATTCCCCGGTGATCTTGCTTCTCCTTTAAACAAATTTGTTCAATATCAAACATTTCAGCTTTAAACTCTATGGAAAAATAAATACTAAACTATATATTGTATCTATTTGATATACAATGTACAAAGATTCTACTATCTTGTATCATGCTATAGGTCCTTCAAAATTGCACACCTCCTATATACATGTTTACATAATTATGCAAAAGTAATTCACAAAAAAATACAAAAAATACTCTTACAAAAAATTCAAATACAAGAAAAGGATAAGAAATTCAAGGAACATTTTTCGATTAACTTGCTCCCCCCTTTTCCTGTATAACTATGTTTGACTTGTACAGAAACATTTTTACACCATTTCCAATTCAAGTCACTACTACTGCTTGATTTTTTTATTCTCCAAGGAATAAATTTGTCTAGGAATATAAGGTGACAGGGAAAACTATCTCTATTTTGTAATCCGCGTTGATATTAAAGTGACGTAATCAAAAGAATTGGAAAACGGAATCATCATAGCAGCTAGCAGACACAGAATGATCAATAGGCAAGTGAATAGAAAAGGCCCCTAACTAAATAGCTAACCTATCAATATTTAATACATCACTCTTCATTGAAGGTAGCTTCTATACAGGAAATCTATCATGGCCATGTTTGAACAGTAAAACTTGTATCCAGTCACTGACAAAACACTAGTTTTAATTCAATTAAGTGTTTCTTCACCTTTGGGAAAAATCAGGTCCACTAAAAACATAAAACTGTTCAACTATTTTAAATCATTTGTAACTTCCATCTTTTTTTATACATGCTGCTATTGGTTTGAAGTAGGTTATATTTTCTTGAACTTGTATTCAGCATTTTCTACCACTCTGCTAAAGTATGAATGTATTTTTACCTCTGTATATCACAAATGAAAATAATACCAAACATAAATTCTCTACCTTGAGATAATTTTTGAAATTTAGTTCAGTTTTCAAAATAAAATAATTCTTTAAGAAAGAAATTAAATTTACTATGACATCTGATGAACAACCACAAATGAATAATAAAACTAATATCTTTTGTCATTACATAAAGAAAGGAGTAGTAAAATGATACTTGAAACATTTGTGTCATTTATAGAAGTGATCATTGATGTCACATGAATTTCAATATAGAACCAAAGTTTGCACTGCTATTTAACAGGTAAAAAACTTATACAGGTTAAACAAGATATGTTTGTAAAACATGTATGCCCCCTATCAGCAGCCAATTAGTCATGTGATAAGGTTATTATGACTTCTGACCCAGTGAACAAACAATTAATAAGGGTTATCAAGAATCTACTGGTCATGACCTTAACCTTTGACCCCTTGACCCAAATCTCAATAGGGGTCATCTGCTGGTCACAACCAATCATCATACAAAGTTTGAAGTTCCTAGGCCTAAGCGTTTTTAGTTAATTTGATCGGAAACCGTTTTAACATACAAGGTCAATGTGACCCTTGACCTTTGACCCCTTGACCCCAAAATCAATAGGTCATCTGCTGGTCATGACCAATCACCATACCATGTTTGAAGTTCCTAGGCCAAAGGGTTCTTAAGTTATTGATTTTTGAAAGCATTTTTACCTACAAGGTCAAAGTGACCTTGCCCTTTGACCCCTTAACCCGAATATCAATAGGGGTCATCTACTGGTCATGACCAATAATCATACCAAGTTTGAAGTTCCTCTAGGCCTAAGGGTTCTTTAGTTATTGATCGGAACCGTTTTTTTACCTAAGAGGTCAATGTGACCTTGACCTTTTGACCCCTTGACCCCAAAATCAATAGGGGTCAGCTACTGATCATGACCAATCACAATATCAAGTTTGAAGTCCCTAGGCCTAAGGGTTCTTTCGTTATTGATCGGAAACCGTTTTTACCTAAGAGGTCAATGTGACCTTGACCTTTGACCCCTTGACCCCAAAATCAATAGGGGTCATCTACTGATCATGACCAATCACCATACCAAGTTTTTGAAGTCCCTAGGCCTAAGGGTTCTTTCGTTATTGATCGGAAACCGTTTTTTACCTACAAAGTCAATTTGACCTTGACCTTTGACCTCTTAACCCCAAAATCAATAGGGGTCATCTGCTGGTCATGACCAATCACCATACCAAGTTTGAAGTTCCTAGGCCTAAGGGTTCTTTCGTTATTGATCAGAAATCGTTTTTACCTACAAGGTCAATGTGACCTTGACCTTTGACCCCTTAACCCCAAAAAATCAATAGGGGTCATCTGCTGGTCATGACCAATCACCATACCAAGTTTGAAGTTCCTAGGCCTAAAAGGGTTCTTTTTGTTATTGATCAGAAAACCGTTTTTTTACCCAAGAGGTCAATGTGACCTTGACCTTTGACCCCTTGACCCTAAAAAAAAATAGGGGTCATCTACTGATCATGACCAATCACCATACCAAGTTTGAAGTTCCTAGGCCCTTAAAGTTCTTTAGTTATTGATCGGAAAACCGTTATTGCTTACAAGGTCAATGTGACCTTGACCTTGACCCCTTCACCCCAAAATCAATAGGGTCATCTACTGATCATGACCAATCACCATACCAAGTTTGAAGTTCCTAGGCCTTAAAGATCTTTAGTTATTGATCGGAAAACCGTTTTTGCTTACAAGGTCAATGTGACCTTGACCTTTGACCCCCTTGACCCAAAATCAATAGGGATCATCTACTGATCATGACCAATCACCATATCAAGTTTGAAGTTCCTAGGCCTTAAGGTTCTTTAGTTATTGATCGGAAAACCGTTTTTTGCTTACAAGGTCAATGTGACCTTGACCTTTGACCCCTTGACCCCCAAATCAATAGGGATCATCTACTGATCATGACCAATCACCATATCAAGTTTGAAGTTCCTAGGCCTTAAGGTTCTTTAGTTATTGATCGGAAACCGTTTTTTGCTTACAAGGTCAATGTGACCTTGACCTTTGACCCCTTGACCCCAAAATCAATAGGGTTCATCTACTGGTCATGACCAATCACCATACCAAGTTTGAAGTTCCTAGGCCTAAGGGTTCTTTAGTTATCACTCGGAAACCATTTGGTCTACGGACCGACGAACCAACGGACCGACAAGTGCAAAGCAATATACCCCCTTTTCTTCGAAATGGGGGCATAAAAACATCAAAATTAGCTTTAAGAGCAGCTACATAAGTATGAAGAAAAATAAATTTAAGAAAATCCCATATTGTGACCTTAACTAGTGCAATATATAGTGATGCAAAGGACACTATCTGCTTGCATGTTGTAATTTTCCTCCTGTATCTTCTCTAAATGTTCCATACTGCAGATCAATGTGAGCTACTGGATTATGTTTTACAGCTTAATCAGTGATTCTTTGAATAATTTAACATCAACATATGTCTACAGACTCCCCAAAGATTTGCTTTACCAGTAAGAAACGTCACATCTCTCTATATAACATACAATACCTATTTGCTGTACCAAATAGATTTGGTGTATTTTAACTAGCATGTGTATTGTCACAAATCAAAAGTGAAGTCTGTGAATAATTGATCAACACCTTCAGTATTCTTTGACTGGAAACTATATGCAAAAGAAATTCTATTTTGAATTGTTTTTACGGAAACTCCTGTAAACGTCTTCATATTTAAGAATTGATGTCACAGGATCCTGGTGAAGAAGGCAAGCAGGACTACCCATTAAATATAATTATGCATTCATGAATGTACATCCCTTTGACCACATTATTAGTCAAGCTTGATAAATCTTGAGAACATAGCATTATAAACTTGGGTGTGTTGAGAATGGTGAGAGAAGAAAGTGATATCAAAATCACTAGAAATGATAAAAGAGGTGATTATAGCCAGTACAAAACTAATCAGGGAACATTAGCACTGACATTGTATTGATTTCAGCATATGTTTCAATGCTTTATAATATTGTCTGGCCTGCTTCTATAATGACTTTCTTACACTGCCAGCATAAAGCCAAGCTAGCCAATACATCCATCCAGTCTGACCCTACACCACCAACCTAAAACCAAGCTAGCCAACACATCCATCCAGTCTGACCAAAAATATAAAAGCCAGACCACACTTCACTTCCTTGTAGTCTTACCCTACACCACAAATGTAAAAGCCAGACCACACTACACTTCTTTGTAGTCTAATCCTACACCACAAATGTAAAAGTCTCACCACCCTAAACTTCCTTTAAGTCTCACACTACACCACAAATATAAAAGCTACACCACCCTAAAGTTCCTTGAAGTGACTCACACTACACACAAATATAAAAGCTACACCACCCTTAACTTCCTTGAAGTCTTACCCTACACCACAAATGTCAAAGCTAGACCACCCTACACTTCCTTGAAGTTTAACCCTACACCATAAATATAAAAGCCAGACCACCCTAAACTTCCTTGTAGTCTAACCCAATACTACACATGTACAAAAGGACCAGCCTACATTTCCTTTAAGTCTAAGCCTACTCCACAAATGTAAAAGCCAGACTACCCTATACTTCCATGCGGTCTGATCCTATACCACGTATGTAAAAGATACACCACAAATATAAAAGCTAGACCACCCTACACTTCATAGCAATCTGACCCTACACCACAAATGTAAAAGCTTAAACAACCAAAACTTCCTTGAAGTCTAACCCTACACCACAAATGTAAAAGCTAGACCACCCAACACTTCCTTGAAGTCTAACGCTACACCACAAATGTAAAAGCTAAACCACCCAACACTTCCTTGCTGTCTAACCCTACATCACAAATGTAAAAGCCAGACCACCCAACACTTCCTTGAAGTCTAACCCAACACCACAAATGTAAAAGCTAGACCACCCAACACTTCCTTGAAGTCTGACCCTTCACCA